ATTCTCTCTCTCTCTCTCTCTCTCTCTCTCTCTCTGTAAATAAGAATAACATTTGCACATTTAATACGGTAAATAGTAACAAAAAATAGCTGCATTTGTACACCCATTCATTATCCGTTGCATAATTTATAATAAATCGAGGACCATTAGAAAAATTTACATAAACACAAAGTGACCCTGTTTAACAAACGCCGAGACACAATTGTCAAGTAATGTCGCAAGCGTGCGCAGGAGAATTCATTGATAAGGAACATTGCAATTATGATTTCAATGTAACATTATACAAGTTCAATTACAATGCGCGATGACGAAATCATGAGCAACAGAAGTGGCACGTGTGAGACATTGCTCTTTTTCTTAAATCAAATTCAAATTTGTTAAGATTGTAAGAGTAGGCGGTGTATCGTCCAATAAAATTTGATACGTCGTATGTTCCTCTGTTTCATGACGCGCCTCCGTAAAACTCCGAACGCGACGAACGTCATCAATTAGGCTAGTGGGCACATAGAAAAACAATTTTAAAAATAAGCGAGTCAGTCAATCAAATTGAGAATTATCGAAAAAAACGCAAGATTATCATTTTAAAACTCTTAGCTTTAAGCTTGCTTCTTTTATCATTACATTGTACCGAGCTAAAATTTTCTTTCTTATTTTTACTTTAAATATACATCTACTTTAAGCACAAGTATATACTAGTTCAGCTACAAAAACAGATCAATTGATCGAGCAATTTGCTTACTATGTTTTTTCTACGTGCCACTAGTCTTAATCTCCGTTTCTCGCGGAACCGAAATTCATTCACATCGGGTGTCAAAGTACAAAAAGTTGGGCTCGGCGGTTTCTCCACTGGTTACGGAATTATCATCGCTCGCGTCGACGGACGCCGCGATATCAAGAACGAATCGTTGTGTGCGCGCGCGCGCACGCACGCACGCTTCCATTCTGTCTGATCAGTAAACACCGCCTTGACGTTTCACTTTCTAGCTGGTAACACACGCGGCGACGGCGACGATGACGATGACGATGACGGTGACGACGGTGATGGCGACGACGATGGCGACGGACATGGGAGGGCGCTACTCGTGGGATCTACGAGATGCGCGATTTCGGGGGGCCGGGGATATATTCTCGATCACGTTTCCGGGTCACGCCGAGTCCTCTCGCGAAAGTGGAGCACCGGTAATTCATCACTCAAAACGCACTGGCGGCGCCGATATCGCGTAACAGACGTCAGATCCTCTCTTTCCTCCTACTCCTCCTTCTCCTTCTCCTTTCTCCTTACTCTCCTTCTGTGAAAGAGCTCCTTTAAATATCTCGCTTCTCGCATGAACACCGTGGGCGATTTAATTTCGACGATCTTGAACCGCTCGAGCATCCAGTGTTGAACCGATAACAAAGTTTTATCAAACATTATTATTTTTAATCTTATTTAATGTCACTTTAACGATATTCACCAAATTAAATACCTAAAAATGTTAATAATATCAATAATTTGTAATATATATTTGTAATATACATTCCAGAGCTCATATAATTAATTAATTAGTGCTTTCTATTTATTAAGAATATCAGATATCATCCCGAGGAACCAATTAAACCTCAGCCTCAAACAACAATAACAATTAAACCTCTCCAAGTATCTAAATATCAAAACATCGATAGACTCGAAAGTATTTGTTCACTGGTCCTTCCAGTCGGCCTCTGTCGCCGTTTGTTCTCTCGCTCTCCTCTCTCTCCATTTTCTCTTCGCGCGCTCTCTCTCTCTCTCTC